CCCCCCCCCCAGGCATTTGTTCCAAGATGCCCAGTGGATGCCTGAAAGCACAGATGGTACCAAACCCTGTACATACCGGGGCTTTATCCTGCACATAAATATCATGATAAAGTCTAGTTGATGAATTAGGCATAGCAAGAGATTAACAGTAATAAAATAGAACAATTACAATGTGCTGTGATAAGAGTTACGTGAATGTGGTCTCTTCAAAATACGTTTCTGCGCCGTATCCCCCCTTCTCATGCTGCCATGAGATGATAAAATGCCCACGCGAGGTGATGCAGTGAGGTGTGTGCCCTGGGCCTTGGGACATAGTGTTAGGCCACTGCTGACCTTCTGATAAAGTAGCAGGAGGGTCGTGTGCTTCCGGACAGGGGTTGACCTCGGGTATCTGAAACCACAGATAAGGGGGACTACTGGGGCGCCTGGGTGGCTCAGTCGGTTAAGCGGCTGACTTCGGCTCAGGTCACGATCTCGCGGTCCGTGAGTTCGAGCCCCGCATCGGGCCCCTGTGCTGACAGCTCAGAGCCTGGAGCCTGTTTCAGATTCTGTGTCTCCCTCTCGCTGACCCTCCCCTGTTCGTGCTCTGTCTCTCTCTGTCTCAAAAATAAATAAAACGTTAAAAAAAATTTTTTTTTAATTAAAAAAAAAGGGGGGGGGGACTACTGGATACCACAGCGTCGCACTGTACATCTGAAATATGTTACTACAACTTCGTCAGTTCTACCTCAGTACAGCTGCAGAGAGAGCCAAATGGAATTAGAGTCTGTAATCACTGCTATAGTGTCAACAAGAGACTAACCCAGGGGAGGGAGGTGCTCCCCCAGCCCACAGAGGTCTCAGCAGAGGTGTCCGAGGCAGGAGATCCAGAGGCTCTGAAGGAAGGTGGGGAGGCCGGGAATTCAGAGGCGGGAGAGCAGGGGTGGGGGCCCAGGTGTGGAGTCCTTGACTGCAGGTGACCCCTCCCCGCCCCCGGGGCGGCCGCGCAGTAGCCATCTGCAGGTCAGCGGCGGGGAGGGCTGCTTCCCCGGTACAGCCTTGGTGCCTGTGTTGGGTCTGAAGGATCACATTTAGGTTTTTGGCCAACAGCTGGACAGACTCCTTAGTCATAGCTAAATGTTAACTTGAGTTGGTTATAGGATTCCTAAAGTTCTTTGAGCAACTTGGATCTTAACTTTATTGCAATTTTGCAGTAGGCTTCTGGCGGGGGAAAAGGTAATTGGTGTCAGAGGTACCTTAAATCTATTTTAATACGGTTGTTTTAATAAACACAATACTTAAAGAATTAGACCCTCAGTGTTCAGTTTTCCTTCTGTAGAGAGTTATCTAGTGCTGGTTTCTTTGTAAATTTGGCTTAAAAAAATCTAGGATAAGGTCTGAAACGTGTACATACTTCAGATCCTTGAAGGGTCCGGTAACATGAAACGTGGGAGGCGTGTCACCGCATCGGACCCAGTGCACTGTTCATCTCCCACGGAATCGCAGGAAACATGTTCTGTTGTTTTCCTCTGCAGCGGTCCTTCTCTTGTGAAGCCCTGGCAGGTTTTGCTCAGCCCCTGCCTGTCCGAGCATGCTTTCTCTCACCTTGACAAGAGAGAAGTGACGTGTGGCCCCGCCGTGCGGTACGGGTCTGCTCAGGGCTTGTAGGTGGCTGTGGGGCCACCGGCGCGGGGCTAGCACCTGCTGCCCTCCTGCCAGATGGGCAGGGCCGACCGCGCATGCGCCGGCCGGAGGCTCTCGTGGCAGGTCCCTCGGTGCAGTGGAGGAGACCAAGTGGAGGAGGTCTCGTGGGAGAGCGGTGCAGTCACAGTGAAGCCAGGAATGGAGCCACTGACCAGGGCCCTGAAGGACAGGAGACCCAGCAGAGACGGGAGTGGGATAAGACGTGGGAGTGCAGACTCCGGCAGCAGGAGACAGGCAGGAGGCAAGTTCGTGGACGTTGGGATGTTGGGGGAACTGAAGGAAACCTGAGGGCTGGGGTGCTGCCGGTGGGGTAGGTTGCCACGGAAACCCAGCCAGGTCTGCCTCAGCGGGAAACGTTGGAGAGATGTCCCTGCTCACCGCCCAGGGGGATTCATAGCCTTTGAGAGAATAGCAACGAGGGCTGAGATTAGAACAAGGATTTCAGGGGCGCCTGGGTGGCGCAGTCGGTTAAGCGTCCGACTTCAGCCAGGTCACGATCTCGCGGTCTGTGAGTTCGAGCCCCGCGTCGGGCTCTGGGCTGATGGCTCGGAGCCTGGAGCCTGTTTCCGATTCTGTGTCTCCCTCTCTCTCTGCCCCTCCCCCGTTCATGCTCTGTCTCTCTCTGTCCCAAAAATAAGTAAACGTTGAAAAACAAATTTAAAAAAAAAAAAAAAAAAAAAAAGAACAAGGATTTCAAACTGTTAGCCACACGACTCCCTTATTTTAGCTATTAGGTAGGATCATAGCACATAGTACAGTTGTCCTTTGAGCTGCACGGGCCAATTTACATGTGGATTTCTTTTCAATAAGCACAGTACTGGGAATAGATCTTACGGTTTTTTGTAATAACATTTTCTCTAGCTTGACTAGAAGAATATATAATAAATATACATAAGATGTGTTAAACAAGTATTTGTCATCAGGAAGGCTTCCGGTCAACAGTAGGTTATTAGTAGTTAAGTTTTGGGGGAGTCAGAAGTTACACACGGATTTTCTCCTGCATCGGGGTCAGCGCCCCGAGCCCCCACGTTGTACATGGGTCATCCTATAACAGAATGTGAGTGTTAAGTGCCACCTTCCTGTGAGGCAGCTCTAGGGAACACGCTGTGAAATCTGTCCCTCATGCAGATCACAGTTGTTGCAGGAGCAAGAGGGACTCGAAGTAGGGGACCCCTCCGGAGACTGCAGTGACACTGAGGGAGCAAGCAGAGTGACTAGAAAGGGGATGGGTGTGTGGAATGTTCCAGAGATGGCCTGGACAAAGGTGAGAGACTGCTGTAGGAAGCAGGGGCTGTAGATACCAAGCAGGAGAGTAAGCGGGCATCTGGTAATTCCGAGAACCACAAACCTGGGAAGGGCAGTTGGTGGCAGAGGGGACAGTGACACGACAGGGGCCGGCTTGGGTTTTGCGGAGTTTCCGGTGTTTGGGGACCGCTGAGTGGTGCTGCCCGGCACACACTTGGGAACCGAGAGGCTGTAACTCGGATCTCGCGGATCTTGCGTGCGTCAGGCTGGGGACCTATTGGGGAGGCCATCACATGGTGGGGCATTTGCAGTGCTGCTGGAAGGGACGCACGGCAGAAAGAAGGCAGAGACTCCGCTCTGGGCTTTAAAGCCTGAGGTAGGGAGAAGAGCCAGAAGCAGCACCAGTGACGGTGGAGGAAGGAGGACATCTGGGGGGTGAAGCTGTTGGTGTCTTCCCCGTGCGGGCCAGGCAAGTGCTGGCTCCGGCGGAGACGCGGGTTTGTGTGCTCAGCGGATCACCCTGCGCTCCGAGTCTCAATTTCCTCACGTCAGGGTGGGGTCATGGTCTGCCCTGGCAGCGCCCCGATCAAGTAAGTTAAGGTGGGAAAGCCTGTTCCAACTGCAGCCCAGGCACCGGGCCATCCGAGTGTGGGGATGGGGCAGCCAACCAAGAGGATTAAATCGGCTCCAAGCCCTTGTTTCTTTGCTCAGCTGGAGGCGGGCTCTTTTGCAAACAAGTGGTTAGGGCAGGAGCAGCAGGCACTTGGCTTTCCAGCCTCTGGTTCGTGACCTTCTCAGCCACCTTGTTCGGAAACTTGGGGAGTGTGTCCGGAACACCCCACCCACTGCGTGTGTGGACAGCGTTGGGAAGGGCTGATAAGAGCCAGTTTCTTTTTTTTTTTTTTTTTCAACGTTTATTTTTTTATTTTTGGGACAGAGAGAGACAGAGCATGAACGGGGGAGGGGCAGAGAGAGAGGGAGACACAGAATCGGAAACAGGCTCCAGGTCTGAGCCATCAGCCCAGAGCCTGATGCGGGGCTCAAACTAAGAGCCAGTTTCTTAAAGTAGGCCTTTGACAAGATTATGGCCTCGAGATAAACAGCAAGAGCTAATGGCTTCTGTAGTTCCTACTCGGTGCCAGATACTGTTCTAAATACTTGGCAAATTTAATCCCTGCAGGAACCCTGTTAGATAGACACAGAAAAATCATC